TGGTAGTTGGCAGAGGTGGGAGTGAATGGGTGAAGGTGGTCAAAAGGTACAAACTTCCTGTTATAAAATAAACTAGTCATGGGTTGGAATGTACAAAAAGTGGCTATAGCTAAGAATACTGTATTGTATATTTGAAAGTTGCCAAGAGAGTCGATCTTAAATGTTCTCATCACAAGAAAAAATTTGTAACTACCTGTGGTGATGGATGTTAGCTAGAATTATTGAGGTGATAATTCCCAACACATACAAATATTGTAAAATTATGTTGTACACCTAGAACTAACGTAATGTTGTATGTCAATTACATCTCATTTTAAAAAATGTTGATCCACATGTCCCAAGGAATGGACTCTAGTGAATGCTATGCTGCATTGCTCAGATCATTCTTCAGAATTAAGGGTTTATTCTTGCTGGTTTGGAGGCGCAGCCATCTGACAGCCCTCAGCCCACAGCCCTCTTTGAGTATTGCCCTCAGCTAAAGACCTGCCTCACTTAAGATCACACCAGTCAGATCTCTTGCTATGGGAGAATAACTAACTGATGGCCACCTGCATCCACCACCGTGTTTGCACTGAGGTTGCTCCTGGGCTGCCCCCAGCCACTGACTGAGCACAGCAGGGTACTAATGCATGCCCATTGCCATGGTCACACAATGACATTGATGAGCATGTCAATTATCTTTGTCAGGACTGTGACTCCTCTTCTTGGTATGCAAGATCTGAAGTGCCAGGCAGCCCTATAGCTTGAAGTTTAATGGGGCTTTTTCCATGTCCTTGGAAGTGTTTTCCCTTTAGCAAGCAAGACCTCTAAATCTGCAGAGGCCAGAAGTGTGGAGACCTGCAGCACAAACTCCCCAAGTTGTTCATTGGCAGTGCTGTTAGACGGGGCTGCTTCTACTTCCAACTTTTGATTTCTGGACTCATGTATCCCCTAAACTGGAGACACAGCACGTTATAATTGTCATTGATTTAGAGTGTATACTGCATCCTGTGAATTGTGTAGTCAGCATTTCCTGTGTATTCAAAGTCTGCATGAAATAGGATCATTCTCTTTGAAATTAAATGTCTCCCTATAGCTTCATTAAATTATTTGTTTTTAACTCTCCTATGCGCCATACTCCCTTTAGGCTATGTTTTACCTCTGTCCTCCTCTTCTCTGACAAACTTTACATATGATTTATATTTGCTGCTGTGTTTCTTCAATACTCACTCTTCAACCCACTCTACCTGGATTATTTCTGCCCCTGCCCCTCTAATAAAAGGTATTAAATGGATCCTTCCCTAATATCCACAAAGATTTCCATGTCACCAGCAAACAACAAGGGGTATTTTCTGTCCTCATTTGATTAGTCTTTTTCAACATAAGGAAAACTATTCACCACTCTGCTTTTCTTCAGAAAGGACTTCTTGGCCTCCATGACACTATGGATACCAAGTAATCCGTAAAATCTCTGAAGATTCTTCAAAGAAAAAACATCACAGAAAATTGGTTCCTGGGTATGGTTCTTATGGAAATTAAATATTTCCTATGGGACAACTTGTGACTTTTAAGTCAAACCAAAGAAAGAAGAATTTCTCCATGGAGAAAATACTTTCTTCTTCCCCCACTGTTACCTACACAGACACAAAGTCAGCTGAAATTTTTACACTATTTTATGTTTATACCTTAAGGGAGCTGAATTGTTTAGAAAGAGGAAAGTCAGTAGAACAATTTATTTAATGAGGAGCTCTGAGAATTCAGTCCTTGAGACAATAATAACACATCCCTGTTGCCCTTGTCCTATAATTCTCTGATCCCTGCCTAGAGAAAATCCTATTGGGCTTCCCAGGGGCAGACCTCAGAGAATAGAAAGTTTCATTGATAACCATCAGAGAGGGTCAGTGTGTCCCAGTGAGGGCTGGTGGCGTAAGAAGTAGAAGAGGATAGAAAGTGGGTACTGGGCTCTCCTTCTAGAGTGATGAGACTGGGACAGTCCCACATTTATTTAGTCTATAAAGGTGAAGTCTGTCTACAGTGAAGATACTTTAGTTTCTACTGAAACCAGGCTTTCCCTGCTCTTGTTCTGTTTCCTTCTCATTCTTTTTGGAATCTAGAGCTTCTTTCAGATAAGACTTATTTCCTGGAGAGTCTCCACCTCTTCTCTACTCTTTCTCGCAATTGTAGGCTCCTGTTGGATTTCCTGTGTCCAATCATTCACTCACTAGCTACTCACTGGAGATCTATTGTGCACCAGGTATTGTCTATTTTATTCCTCCTTGATTGTATTTTTCTATTATATTCCCTAAATACTTTTGCAGTAGGCTTGACTTCCTGAGAGCACTTATTGTTCTGCATTGATTGTTTTTGTTGTTCCACTTTAGTGTCCACAATATCATTGACAAATGAGACAATTATTTCTGATATTCAGTACTCAGCAGAATTTCCTTCTCTCATCTTACAAATTTCTTTAAATGTTCAGGTGACTGTTGAGTGATTGAATTTGGAACAGACTGCCTTGGTCTGTTCATGAATTTAACACAAATATTTTAGAGTTTTAATGTAGAATATCCTGTTGGCTGCAGGTGTAAAACAACCATTTTTTACTGAGTGAAGAAACCATCCTTAGTTTCCTCATTTGGCAAGAGACTCTGTCCAGGCTGCTAACCACAGTAATGGCGGTCACATTTTCTCAAATGCATTTTCTATTGTGACAATGGTTATGACTTCTCTTCATTGACCTATTTTTGTGATGAATTATGTTAACAAACATCACAGTTTTAAACCAGCCTTCCATTCATAGAATAGATAGTACTTATTCATGATGTATTATTCTCTTAAAATAGATATGAATATATTTGATTTAATTTTACTATTCAATTTAGTGTCTTTATTCAGGCATATATAAGCTTGAAGATTTCTTTTTTGCATCATAGTTGATCCTTTGGGTCTAAATCTTTATTATGCATCTAACATTTGCATGTGTTGAGCACCTACTTTGTGCCAGATACCATGTAAGTCCCTGGAAAGATGATGGTGAGCAAAAAACAGTCACTTCCTCTGACCCACATATAAAGATAAAGTTACCAATGTGAGAGGTACATCAAGGAATAGTAAAGGATGCTGGACTTGTGGGCTCACCCCATGTGTCCTCCTGACCCTCACTCTCTGTTCTCCATCGCTGGCCTCTCAAACCCTTTCCATTTCCAAACTCACTGACCCACAGAGCAACAGTGATTTCTGTTCTCTCAGCCCAAAATGCTCACCCATTCCTTATTTCCCCTTGTTAACAATTGCTCATCCTTTGTCTCACAGCTCAATGATTCATATTTTAGAGAGGGCTTTTCTGCCCACCTCCCCAAAGTAAAGTGTTTCTTAATGATTTTTTTCTCTCTCTAATAAACTGCATTCTCTAGGCATTAATAATGACAAATTTTTCATTGGTGATTACCACAGGGGAAGAGAGTAGGGAGAAGGGCAAAAGGGATAATTAGGCACATGTGTGTGGTGTTAGATTGTAATTATTATTTCGGTGGTGAACATGAGAACATGATAATCTATGCAGAAATAGAAGTATAATGGTGTACTCCTGAAATTTATACAATGTTATATACCAATGTTACTGCAATAAAAATAAATAAAAATACAAAAAGGAAATAAGTGGCAATTTTTTCCTATCATGGAGAATATAAACATTGACTCACTCCATATTTTGCCTTTTAATTTCTTAAGGATGATGTAATTAATACAAAGTTTGTATATTTTTCATCAGTTCTATCATTGTTTTACCATTAACTATACTGATAGTTAATATAACACATCCCCACATCTGAGCATGAACACATGAGCACACACTCTCAAACATGCCTTGGATTTTATTTGAATGATTCTGTGATTTTCCCCCTTTTCTAATCTATGTAGTTCACATGCTTTTTTCTCTTCTTGAAAGAACCCACGTGGCAGGCAGTCTCTGAAAGAGGGAGCCACAGGGATCTTCATTCATTAGAGGTGTTGTATGGAGGTCAAAGGGGGTAACAGACCTGTGGTGTTTATAATGAACAGCATTCCATCCTTAATGGCTACCCCAGTTTAAAGGAAATTTGGTAAATGATAGCCATTCAAGACAGATTTATTGTGACATTAAGAACAGAAGCTCACATTTACCAAGTGTCCGCTGTATGTCACAGGAACTACACTAGAAAAACTACTTGCATCATCTCACTTAATTCACTCATCACTCTACAAGGTAGGGAATATTTACTACTCACATTGCAGAGGTGAGGTCTCTGCAGCTAAAAGAGATTAAATAAATTTGTCCAGGCCACACAAATAGTAAGTTGGTAGACTTCCACTCTAGGAAGTCTGGCTCCAGATCCCATTTTCTAAATCACATGCCTATGCTGTACTTTGGGAGAGTTATCAAAAATATCAAAAACAATTATCAAAAATAATTGTCTTAAAAGGAACATATTAATATCAATAATAATAGCTATCATTTATTGAGATCCTACTGTACAAAAAGGCATTTCTAAACCTCAAAGAAGATAATAGTAATAACCACATTTTTAGAAATAAAATAAATAAAGCACTTGAGTGTTAACTGTGACATCAATAGGAAGCATCAACTCATAGAATTAAGGTTCTTTGAGATGGAATCCACATTTTAATAACCAGTACAGAGCCATTAGAATGGAGAAAGTATGGAGATTTTGAAAGAAAACACATTTAACATCTACAATTATTTTGGAAGAGTCATGTCGTAGAAGAAATTGGTTTACGCTCATAGCCTCAAATACGATTTGAATCATGAAAAGGAAATGAAAAGTTTACTTTTAAAAAGGCTAAATAATTACATTTAAAATGGAACTGGGCTACAACTTGACTGAGTGAATCAGTGTCATTGGAAAGACTCAACAGAAGGTTAAGTTTGTGCAACTAAAGGTGGAATCAAGAGGTGCTGAGTAGCTGGGGTGCCAGTTGGATGTTCATTGAACTTCGCTTTTGCTTTCTTTCACACAAGCTACATGGAAGCTAGAAACCACACAGAAGTCTCAGAATTCCTCCTCCTGGGTCTCTCAGAGGATCCTGAACTGCAGCCCCTGCTCTTTGGAGTGTTCTTGTCAATGTACCTGGTCACCGTGTTTGGGAATCTACTCATCATCCTGACCATCAGCTCTGATTCCCATCTCCACACCCCCATGTACTTCTTCCTCTCCAACCTGTCCTTCGTGGACGTCTGCTTTATCTCCACCACCATCCCAAAGATGCTAGTGAACATCCAGGCACAGAGGAAAGACATCTCCTACATAGGATGCTTCACTCAGGTCTATTTTTTTATGATTTTTGCTGGAATGGACAATTTCCTCCTGACTGTGATGGCATATGACCGGTTTGTGGCCATCTGCCACCCTCTGCACTACATGGTCATCATGAACCCACGCCTCTGTGTCCTCCTGGTTCTGTTGTCTTGGTTCATCATTTTCTGGGTCTCCGTGCTTCACATTCTACTGTTGAGGAGGCTGACCTTCTGTATAGGCACTGAAATTCCACATTTCTTCTGTGAACTGGCGCAGGTTGTCAAATCAGCCTGCTCTAACACTCTCATCAATAACATCACCATGTATGTGATCACTGCTGTGGTGGTTGTCTTTCCTTTCACTGGAATCCTCTTCTCTTACTCTCGGATTGTCTCCTCTATAATGAGAATTTCCTCTGCAGGAGGAAAATATAAAGCATTTTCCGCCTGTGGGTCTCATCTTTCTGTGGTCTCCTTGTTCTATGGGACAGGCCTAGGGGTCTACCTCAGTTCTGCTGTGACCCATTCTTCCCACAGAAGCTCAATCGCCTCACTGATGTACACTGTGGTCACCCCCATGCTGAATCCCTTTATCTACAGCCTGAGGAACAAGAATGTGAAGGGGGCCTTGGGAAGGCTCCTCAGCTGGCCAGACTCTTCTCCATCACGAGTCACTGGCCTTAGAACTAAGTGGACATGGGTGGCCCCACAGGTAAATTTTTTTGTGAATTTAAATCCCTTGGTTCTTTCTCTGCCCTAAAACACATGCTCGATTTCTTCAATTCCCAAAAGATCTATGTCTTAACTTTTATTTGTCTGTATAATTTTCTCCTCAACAACCTCCTCAGTAATTTGTTTTTGAGTTTTATTGCTTATATGATGTTCAGAATGTTCCATGTTCAGTTAGCTCTCTTGAGAAATTCTTAAAATTTCTAACTTGAGATTTAAACCACTTATCATATCAAGTGCGGACATGGTACCCCCAAAATTATCCTTTCAAATGTTGATGTTCTTCACCTTAGTTTGATCGTGAAGTTGTTTCTCCGGAAGAAATGGACTGAAAATGATACAGTCACAACAACAAATGCTTACCACATCAGGACTGTGCTTGTTTCTTCATATGTATGACTTTACTTCACCTTGAAAATGTTTCTTTGAGATATTTCCTCTCATTCACCCCACTTTTCAAAAGAAGAAACTGAGATTGAGTCAGACTATGACCTGGCTAGTTGACATTGACTTTGCTACCCTACATTTTAGGAGAACAGTGATGTGATTTTCAATTTCAAAGTAGTAAAGTAGATTTGAAAGCTGTTTTTGTCAGATGATTCATAGTAATATACCACCTAGAATAACTCAGAGATGTTGCTTCATTCTTTGTGATAATTCCTTCCATTCTTCCTTCTATCGTTTCTTCTTTCCTTCCTTCCTTCCTTCTTTCCTTCCTTCTTTCCTTCCTTCCTTCCATCCATGCTTCCTTCCGTCCCTCCTTTCTTCCTTCCTTCTCTATTCCTACCTTTTCCTTGCCTTCTTTCCATTCACTTTTCCTTCTTTCCTTCACTCTTTTCTTCCTTCCTACCCTCCTTCCTCTTTTTCCTTTTTTTATTTGATGTTTGTTTCCCATGATTGCAATTTTGAATTACACCGTCCAAAATCCTAAAATATGTAGTAATGAATACACTTGAATCAGAAGGCTTTTTTTGCATGGTTTAATTTTTTTTTCTGACACTCTCTGGAGGTAAGACAGGAATCATAGTTACACATGTGCAGAAGGTGTTCAGAATTTAGCTTGCTTTTTGAGAAGAATGTTGATGGAGTTGAGTCTGCAGGGAAGGATAGAGTAATAGACGCTGTCAACATTCCTTTCACATTGCCTGGGTTCCTCTCACCATCTCCATTGCATGACTGCGAATGGCCAGCACCAGCTGGAACCTACTTTGCCCAACATATGGTCCTAGAAGTGACAGAGAATTATGATCCATCAGAGACAGCCTTTGAGGATGAGTGTGCGGTTGCCATGTCTTTCACGCATTAGTTGAGTCAATTCTGAGCTTTTCATTTTGGATCACTTTCCAGAATTTCCCCACAGGATGAAAACTCTGCTCAGTCATAGTGGTAGCTGATCTAATGCAAGCTTTATTGGATGTATTTTCTTCCCTGTATCCACTACTCCTGTCTCCCATCCATGTTCATTGCTCCTTCCAATAAAGCGCTTGTACATGAATCCTTAGCTCAGTGTCTGCTTCTATGGGAACCAAAACTAGCATAGTTGATCAAGACTGTGGTGTATCAAGACAATATCATGAATGGATTTAGAAACTTTATGAGACAAAAAAGAAAGTAGTTATTAGAGACATAGTAAATATTGCAGAATTGCTCAAAAATTATAATTTGTTAAGATGAAAGACCTATTTTTTGTGGCTTCAATTCACTTTGATTCCATTAAGTTTAAAGCAACGTGCATTTATTATCTACTGTGGACAAATTGAGGAGGGGACCAGAGACATGCAATCAATTGCAATACACAGTGATGAGCATAATATAACAGGTGTGTAACAGATTCTGTGGAAAACAAAGGTGAAAATTCTCAACTCACCTTGAGTAATTCCAGGAAAATCTCTTTATACATTTATTTTTTAGCTTTTTTACTAAGGTGTAATTTATATACATGTAATTAACCCATTGATTATGTAAATTCAATGATTTTAGTAAATTTATAGATTTATGTGACCATTACTGCAATCCAGTTTTGGAATATGTCTATCACCTCAAAAGTTCCCTTGTGCCCAATTACAGTTAATGCCCACTCCTACCTAGGAAACCACTTGTCACTTTCTGTCCGTATAAATTTGCCTTTTCTAGATATTTTGTATACACGGAACATACAATATGTGGTTTTTTGTATCTGGCTTCTTCTCCTTAGCATATGTTTTTGTGTCTCATCCATGTGGAAGTATGTATCAATATTTTGTTCCTTTTAATTGAAGAATACTATTTTATTGTATGTATATACCACATTTTGCTTATATAATAAGCAGCTGATGGACATTTGGATACACTCAGTTTAGGGTTATCATAAATAATGCTGCTGTGAACATTTGTGCACATGTCTCTGTGTAGACATGAATTTTCATTTCTCTTGGGAAGATACCTAGGAGTGCAATTACTGGGCTATATGGTAAATTTATCCTTAAATTTTTAAGAAATTGCCAAAGTATTTTCCCAAGTGGTTGCACCATTTACATTCCCACCAGGAATGCATGAAGGTTCCAGTGTTCCCACACATTTGCCAACATTTGCTATTCAGGAAAAACTTCTATTTGAAGAATATATTTGAATTTTGAGGAACAAATAAAGAGTAGAAATTTAACTAGAGAATAGGTATGGGTGACATTCAAGAGACATTCAAGAATGAGGCATAACAGGAAGCTATATGGAACTTATGGCTGAGAGTTAGAAATAAGGTTGGATACGCAGATGGAGGACAGACCATTGAGAGTCTAATTTGACATACTAAGGATTTGATAAGCATTTGAGAACCAGAGCCATGCTGTAATCATACATGTAATATGACGACTTTAGAATTGCCCTTAGTGGGAGAAATTGGACTCAGAGGCAACAACTGGAAGTTTGTGGAAGTAGTGCAGTGGAAAAAGGATGGGGACCCTACACCAGTAGCAATGAGATGGAGAGATTTTGGAAGAAACTTGACTTAAGTCTAGTGGCTTAAAATGACGCAAATATATTATCTTACAATTTTGGAGGTCAGAAGTCTAAAATGTATAAGCAGAGCTGCTTACCTTCTGGAGGCTCTAGAGAAGAATATGCTTCTTTGCCTTTTCCAAATTTTAGAGACCTCTGCATTCATTGACTTGTGGCCCCTTCCTCCATCTTCAAAGTCAGCAATATAAAAGATATACTGCTTTAGATACTGTTAAAGATTTTAGCATCTTCCGTTCCTTCTCCAGCCCTCCTATCCTCATCTTCCAAAGACACTTGTGATTACATGGAGCCCACCCAGGTAATTCAGGATAATTTTCCCATCTCAAGATCTTTAATTTAATTAGACCTGCAATGTGCCTTTGGAAGTCTAAGGTAACACATTCACACATTCCAAGAGAATAGTACATGGACATCTTTGGGAGGCTATTATTCAGCTTAATGTAGGAGACGTGTGTGCGTTAGAATTTGCCAACAATTGATTGATAAAGCCTTTAACTCAGAAGGTGGAGGTCTGTCACAGCACTCCCTGTCGACTTTCACTGGGCAGACCATCTCATGGTCCTGGCTCATGTAAAGGTAAGGCTGCTCTAGACAGGTCTGCTTTGTTGCCAAGTGATAGAAGAGAATTTCCTGATTCATCTGAATATAGCCAAGCAGAGGCTCAGCTGGACACTGGACACAGAGGCTCAAACGCTGTGAGGATTTCTTTTCAGGTTATCAGCTTTATTTTCTCAGATTGGCAAACTTCACATGGAAAGAGACTCAGAAGTCAACAGCTCTTATAACTCGCAACTCATAGCTTCGCTACTTAAAGAGGAACTAGGTTATTTTAGCTTCTCATGTGTAAAAAAAAAAAAATCTCAGAAATGAATTCTAATTGACAGAATTACTTCCTCTTCCCACCTTGCATCAGTCAACTGTGGTCAAGAGACAATGTTACTGGCAGTGCGTTCAGAACCACGTATGTTCATTCAATTTATCAAACCTATATTTAATGAGTATTTACTATGTGTAAGTCATTATTTTAGGCTCAATTCTGCAGGATAAAGAGGATCAGGAGTGTGGGGAGTGCAGGTGGTCATGTTGTGAAAGATGATCTTAATAAACCTCATTGAGAACTTACATTTGTGAGACAGTGAATGACTTAGGTGAGTGCATATGTAGGGAAAGAGTGCCCCTGGCAGAAAGTGAGGTTAATTCAGAGAACCTGAGCTGAGAGGTTGCCTGGGGGGAACTTGGTTGGAGCAAAGAGAGTGGCGGGTGGGGGGGGGCACAGTAGAAGAGAGGAACAAGTGTCAGGGTCTGATCATGTGAGGCTCTCTCTGCCATTGCTTCAAGGACTCTTGTTTTCATTTACTCTGAGCGATATGGGGAGTCTTTGCAGGGCTCTGAGCAGTCAAGTGACATGATCTGACAGCATTTTAAAAGATCATCCTGTCTTCATGGCTGAGAATGGATTTTAAGGTGTGGGGAGGCCTGCTTGGAGGTGGCTGTAACAAGCCAGGCGTGATATAGGAGGCTAGGACCTCCTATATCTAATGGAGTAGTAATGTAAGGGTTGAGAAGCAGTCAATTGGGCCAAGAAGATTTGTTCTTAGTCAGGATATGGGTGTGAGAGAAAGAAGAAACAAGAATGACTCCACAGTCTGGAGCCTGAACAACTGAAAGAATGGAATAGCATCCATTGCGACAGAGAGGGCTGTGGGTGGAGCAAATTTGGGAAGGAAAGGGGACATCAGAAATTCAGGTTTTGAAATGTCTAAATTAAGATATTCCAAATGGGTAAATGTTATATGATTCCACTTATATAAGCGAAGAAGAGTAGTAAAATTTGTAGAGACAAAAAGTAGAATGGTGGGTGCCAGAAGCTAGGGGAGGGAGTTACTGTTTAATGGGGACAGAGTTTCAGTTTGGGAAAAGGAAAAATTCTAGAGATAGATGCTGGACATGGTTGGTCAACAACGTGTATGTAATGCCAAGTGTACATAAATGTACACAAAAATGGCTAAAATGGTACATTAATGTTATATAAGTTTAACCACAATTAAGAAGATGAAGTAGCACAAAATATTGGAGAAATATTGTGATATTTCTTTCACATAAGTTGTCAATATCATTATAAAATAATAAAGAATGGTGGGATTTTTAGATAAAAATTTCAACTTCAGTCCTCCACAGTCGTTACCAGGATTTCCAACCCACCGCAATATTGACATTTTGGTCTATATAATTATTTGTCATGAAGGGTAGTCCTGTGTATGGTAAGGTTTTTTTTTTGTTTGTTTGTTTATTGCAGTAACATTGGTTTATAACATTGTATAAATTTCAGGTGTACATCATTATACTTCTATTTCTGCATAGATTACATCATGTTCACCACC